AAAAAAAAAGTATTCTTAAGATCATTTTTAAATTCAAGTGGAATAGACTCAAGATAATATTCTGGTTCTTGTGGACTTGTTTTCATTTTCTTCCATCTCAATCTGAATTTACACATAAGCCTAAACCATAGTCTGCACCTGGCCTGGTTTTGACTGACGCTACTGAACTTCAATAATGCCTTCCAAAGATTCCTGTGCAGTCCATCAGGTGAAGTCCATGTGTAAAATCACCATTTGGGTTTTTTAAAAGGCATTTGTGATGATAAATTATGGTGTACAAATTCAGTTATTTGATTTCCAGTCCCATTTCTGTCACTCAAGTCCATATTTACTGAATACTATTCCTTCTTCATTGTTTCCAACTTTTGCATACCAGTCACAAGTTATTATTAAGACATCTTGATTGAATGTTTGGTTAATATCTGACTGCAAAATTTGGTAAAAATCTTCAATTTCCTCCTCTTTGACTTTAGCCATTGCATTATAATGGAATGTGCAGAGAGCTGGAGTCAGAGAATAAAATGGGAAGAATTTGCTCAGCATTTATTAAGCTGAAAGAAGTGAAAAACAAATCCAAACCTCAAGTTGCAATACTGAGAGATAGCTATGGGCAAGATCTTGGATGATTCAGAAAGGATTAAAAGATGGAAGGAATACTCACAATCACTGTGCCAAAAAGAATTGGCTGACACCGAAATATTTTCAGTATTTTAGGAATATGATCAATAGCTTCTGGGAATGGAAGAGGTTCAAGCTGTGAAGACAGTGGCAAAAAATAAGGCCCCAAGAATTGATGGGATACAATGAAATGTTTCAACAGATGTAGACCTTGTGTTTACCAGCCTGTCAGGATATTTGGAAGAAAGCTGCCTGGCTGACTGACTGGAAAAGATCCATACTTGTTCCCATTCCCAAGAAAGGTGATCCAACAGAATGTGGAAATTATAGAACAGTACAGGCCATGGTCTTTGCAATCACTTGTTATGCATCAGAGAGCTGGACAATGACTAGGGAGGATAGAAGGAGAATTGACGCCTTTGAGCTGTGGTGCTGGAGAAGAGTATTGAATGTTCCATGGACTGCCAAGAAAACAAACAGATCCATCCTAGAGAGGGTTAAACCAGGCTACTCCTTGGAGGCAAGGATTCTGGGGCTTCGTCTGACATACTTTGGACATGTTGTAAGGAGAGACAGGTCCTTGGAGAGGGACATCATGCTTGGTAGGGTAGAGGGACAGTGCAGGAGGGGAAGACCCTCTATGAGGTGGAATGATTCAGTCACTGGGGTAATCGGGATGGGTGTGTCAGAGGCAATGCAATTAGCACAGGATAGAGCAGGGTTTAGAGCTGTTGTACATAGGGTCGCTATGAGTCGCAAACAACTCGACGGCACATAACAACAACATCATTAAATATCACATGCAAGCAAAATATTGAAGATCATTTAAAAGTGGCCAGAACTGTATACAAAGAACTACCAAAATTTCAAACTGGAATTAGAAGAGGCTGTCACACCAGGGATATCACTGCTGATGTGAGATGGATCCTGGCTGAAAGCAGAAAAGACCTGAATGCGTATTTGTGACTTAATGATCTTGCAAAAGCATTTGACTGTGTGGATAATAACAAGTTATGGCTGACATTGAGAAGAATGGGAACCCCAGAACACTTAACTGTGCTCATGTAAAACCTGTCATTGCTGTTGTTGTATGTATACCGTTGAGTCAGAACCCCCCCATAGCTGACCCCCGAGCAGGTTTTCAGAGGCAGTTAATCATATAGAGGAGATTGCCCATCCTTCTCCTGCTGAGAAGTGGTGGATTCGAAACACATGCCTTTGAGACTGAAGTGCATTTTCTTATCACTAGGCCACCAGTACTACCTGCATGATTTAAAATTAATAAAAGTGTGCATCAGGGCTTTATCATCTCTATATACTTATTCAATCTGTATGCTGAACAAATAATTCTGTAAGTTGGATTCTATGAAGAAGATGGCATCAGGATGGGTGGAAGACTCTCAACACCTGTGTTATGCATATAACACAATTTTGTTTGCTCAAAGTGAGTAGGACTTGGAGATCTTGCTACAGAAGATCAAAGACTACAGCCCTCAATGTCAAGAAAACAAAAGTTCTCCTCACTGGACAGATAGGCAATATCATGATAGAAAAAAGATTGAAACTGTCAATGATTTCATCTTGCTTGGATCCACAACCAACACCCATGGTACCAGCAGTCAGGAGATCAAAAGATGTACTGTACTGGGAAAAGTTCTGTAGTCAAGGACCTCTCCAAATTACTGAGGAGCAATGATATCAGTTTGAAGACTGAGGTTCTGATCAGGTACTGAAGACCTGATTGCAGCCATAGTCCTATCAGTCTCATGCTATGCATCTGAGAGCTGGATGAATAAGGAAGACAAAAGGACCATTGCCTTTGAGCTGTGGTGTTGGAGGAAAGTACTGAATATCCCATGGTATACCAAAAGAACAGCTATGTCTTAGAGAAAGTGCAGCCAGAATACTCCTTCAAGGCAAAGATGACAAAGCTTCATCTCACATACTCTGGGAATGTTGACAAAAAAAGGCTAGTCCTTGAAGAAGGCCATCATTCTTAGAATTCTTAGTGAAAGAGAGGAAGACCCTCAACAAGATGGATTGACACAGTGACTGTGGCAATGGACTCAAGTGTGTCAGAGATGAAGATGTCTCAGAATAGAGCAAGGTTCAGATTTGTTGTTCACAGGATCTCTGTGACTCATAATCAACTTGACAGCACCCAACAATGTACAATACTGGGAAAATCTGCTCTCTGGGACCTCTCCAAAGTACTGAGAAGCAATTATGTCAGTCTAGAGACTAAGGTGTGCTTGATCCAGGTCATGGTCTTCTCAATTACTTGCTATGCATAAGAGAGCTGGACAATGACTAAAGATGACAGAATAACTGATGCCTTTGAGTTGTGGTGCTGAAGAAGAGTCTTCACCATTCTGTAGACCACCAAGAAAACAAGTAGGTCTGCCTTGGACAGGTTGAAACCAAGTTTTTCCTTGGAGGCTAGGATTTTGAAGCTCTATCTCACATACTTTGGGCACATGGTCAGGAGGGGCCAGTCCTTGGAGAAGGAGATCATGCTCAGAGGGTGGAGGAGCAGTGTAGGAGAGGAAGACCCCTGTTGAGATGGACTGATACAGTAACTGGGCCAATGGATGTAGGTGTGTTGGAGTCAGAGCTGTTGTACACAGGGTTGCTATGAGTCACAGGCAACTCAATGGCACATAACAACAATAGCCAGTCATTGTTCCCACCATTGTGAAAAACTTTGTTAGAAATTTCTTTACTCAAAGTACTTTGGGATTACCAATATACAGTTTCAAAATACAGTTTGAGTAGCCTATAGGAAAGAGCCCATTATAAAGATGATTTGGGAATCAGACAACTTGAGTTTTAATACATCTTCCTAAACTGTATCGACTTTAAGCAAGCCACTTGCTCTTTCTAGCCTTGTTTCCTTACCTCTAGAATAAGGGGATGAGATTAGGTCAGGAATCCAGAAATGCTGGTTTAAGGGTTATCTATGTGAAACTCTTGAATTACATGCAGAACATCACTGGAGGCTGGCATTTTTCTGGAGAAGGGACTTTCTATCTGATTCACAAAGATACTTGTGACTTACTCTCATGTTCTAGCCATGACAATTCAAGCAGCAAAGTTTGGATCCTCAAGTGCATCTAAGTAATTTAATGACTCAATTTGAACCCAGAATGCCATGACAAGATCATTACCCAGCCTTTCCCAGAGAGTTGGATGATGGTCGGGTTTTGTTTCCTCTGATCATCACCTCAAATTATTTGCTTCTGAATCAAAACGTCCAGTGTGCTTTGATCAGACTCTAGGAGCAACAGATCACTTCAAACTCAAAAGTAAAACCTTAAGGCCAAATTGGCTGCACATGCGTCGACAGCCCCACACATAGTGCTCTGTGCCTCTTACTCCTAAATATTTCCAATACTGAGGGAGCTCTGGTGGCCTAGTGGCAAGAAACTGCACTGTAATCCCAGAGATGCGCAGTTTGAATCCACCAGATGCTCTGCTGGAGGAGGAACAATCTCCTCCTGTACCAGTCAGATCTGATTTGATGGTACACACACATACACAGTAATATTTCCCATATTGGACTGAAATTCCTTTCTTAGGGATTCATTGTTTTAGGTTTTGCAGGTGTAATCAATCTGCACGCAACCCACCTCCCCTGGAAAGAGGCCTGGCTTCTTGATTTCTAATTAAAACTACAACTAGGAATTGCACAGGGAAGAGGGCAGGGAAAGAAAGGCCAAAGACTGGAAAGGGAAACGAGAGGGTTACTGCAGCGCTGCTCTGGACATGAGCAGTAGGCTAGACTAGGCTCAGCTTCAAGGACACAGGAGTCCAAAGGAATGTTTACACGCTACGCCCAGCACCCTAAACAAGACTTCACCCGGAAAAGAGCCGGGCCAAAGCTCACACTCCACCCGAAGGCAGGAGTATGGCCAAAAGCACCCTGAATTTCCCCACCTCTCACGCTCACAGCCCTGGCTTCTGGAGAGTAGTGAATGCTGGCGGCGCGGTGCTTAAGACTTTTGAAAGACAATCTGTAATTCCAATCCACGAGCCGCTCAGGGGAGAAACGCGCTTTCTTTGGAATGAATGCTTTAGAAACCTTATGGGGCTGTCCTATACAGTTGTTAGGAGTCAGCATCCATTTGACAGCAATAGGTTTGGTTGCGCTCAGGACAGGAGGTTTTGCACCCCTGATTCGAGAGCTCACCCGTCCTGGCGACTGCAAACTCCACCTTATTATAGGGTCTCCCTACGGAGAGGCAACCTCAAACTCATAATCGTTTTTACCAAGAGGTACAAAGTCGAGCAGCATTCCCACGCTCCTCAGCCACAGTTGGGTCGCAAACCTCCCACGCGCATTCCCACCCCGACTCTTCTCTCACCGTCCTTCCGCCTCCTTTAGCAAGATGGCGGCGAGCGCACTTCCGGCGTGTGTCGGCAGAATGAGACCGGGCTGCTGCTCCAGGTACTACCCGGCGGGTTCCGGTGTCGCAGCAAGAGGCCGAGGTGATGGCGGGCAGACAGTCTGGTTGGAGCCGAGTGGCTCTTCTCCAGCTTATTTTTTGCGTGAACCTGATAGTAATGCCACTCGCCCAGGCCCGGAGTCTGCGCTTCGTTACCTTGGTAATGAAAGATGGGGTCACCAAGTGGATTGCCGGAGCTGGAGGAGCAACGGCCTGCCAGTGGAAGGAGGGGCTCTTAAAGGAAGCAGGTTTAGGAGGGAATACTGACCCAGGCAGTGGGGGCCGGGCTCAGAATTGATAGGCACCCAGGGCTCTAGGTCGGGATGGAGGTGGTTGAACAGATAAAGGACTCACTCCTAAGGAAGCTTTGGGTGATCTCATCCCCAATGCCGCTTTCCTCCATCGAATGCATTGCTTTTGCTTCTTTTTTCCCATCCCACCTTTACCCAGGTTCCCAGGGGCATTGTTTAGTCCAGTTAAAATTCCCTGGGACCTGGGAGAAGTTTCTGACTCCTGAGTTGGGGACTTTTGCAGTGGGGTGGGTTGAGGCTTCCTGGAAGGAGTCAGCTTCTTCCCCTAACATGGGGGAGAGGGGGCTTTTTGCTACCCATCACCTAGCCTTCTCTGACCTGTAGGCAAATGGTTTTTATTTGCTCAGCTATATCGACATGGAGATCGTTCACCAGTGAAGACCTTTCCCAAGGATCCCTATCAAGAAGAAAAGTGGCCCCAAGGGTTTGGTCAGCTAACCAAGGTGGGTCAGAGGCCAGTCTTTATGCTCAGGATGAGCTATGGAAGGAGTAAACTTTGGATCAGGCTGCTGAACTTGGGTCCTTAGCAAACTGCTGTTTCCTTATGGGAGTGCTGATTTTGACCTTAACCGTACTTTCCTCTGTGCCCAGGGTGATGCCATGAACAAGTAGCTGCTTAATAAGTGGCTTTTGGACTGGGATGAGTCCAACCCCTCTTCCACCCGGGGTATATTTGGAAAGCAACTGTATCTAAGCTCCAAGGGGCTTGTGAGCCATCCTTTCCCAGGGGACCCTCCTTACCCTTTGATTTGCCCACAGGAGGGGATGCTTCAACACTGGGAGCTGGGCCAGGCTCTGCGACAACGCTATCAAGGCTTTCTAAACACCACCTATCACCGCCAAGAGGTGAGGCTCAGTTCAAGAGGTAAAGGGAATGGACCTGCTGTGCTCAGCTCAGCCTCTGCCCTCAGGGAGCCCTGGAGTGAGGCAGGGCCAGGAGTGAGGCGGGGCAATCAGGCTTCCATCCTGCCTTTTCATTACATATAAAGAACAATACCTCAAAGAGCTGCCTAGAACCTCGAACAAAACCTTGGTGATCTAGTTGATTCCGCTTGACTGGACCAGGAAATACTGATCAAGCATTCAAGTTTAAGGGACGACCTGGCAAAGTCCATTCAGGCTCTGAAATAACTTGAAGTTTTCTGTGCATGGAGTGCCTGCAAGGGTGAATCTCTGTGCTAGCACCTTGCATGCAGATATGATCTCCTTATTTAAAATGCATGTAGTGAGGGCGTCAGATAATAAACCAGAAAGGTCATGTGTTAAAGGCAGCAGGAAAGAAATCCTCTGATAGGGCACGTGGGGAAGGCTGCCAAGTATGCTGGCTACCTTTCCTCTTCTCAGCTCACCCCAGGAATGGAGATAACTGTTCCCTGGTTACCACCCTCAATCACAGGGGCCTCAAGGGTATCCAGATGTTACAATTGTTCCCTTAAGACCCAGTCTACTCTGACCTCGCTCTTCCCCACAGCTTCCTCCTCCCTTTTCAAGAACTATCTGTTCCTTATCGTAATTCCTCTCCCTGGTCTCTGAGCCAGTTTACATAAGGGGTGTAGGGAGTAATTAAGGGCCGTCCCAGCTCTCAGGGACCCTGGTTTAGATAGGGAGACAGGTGTTGTTACCCAGCCAGACATACCAATGAGCCTGACTAAGCATTTCCATGGAAGGGGCACCAGAGAGCTATTTCCATGGGAGTTCAGAGGGAAGCCAGTCAATTTTGGGGCTTTTGCTCAGAAGTGGCTTGGAAAGGCCTCAGAAGGGGGGTGAGGATCAGATGCATGGTGGGTTTACAGTTTGTGGGCTAACTATCAGGACCAGATCCTTCCCTGGGGGGCCCTGTGAAGGTCCAGACTCTGCCCCTCGAGGCAAGACTTACTATGTCACCATCTTTGCAGGTTTATGTGCGAAGCACCGACTTTGACCGCACCCTCATGAGTGCTGAGGCCAACCTGGCTGGACTCTTCCCTCCTGACGGAATGCAGCGCTTCCTCCCAAACATCTCTTGGCAGCCGATCCCTGTCCACACTGTGCCTGTCACTGAGGACAGGGTAAGACCGGCCAGCCCTTCCCTGGATAGGTGTTGAGGGGACATCGCTGGCCATGGGCCTGGTGATTGCCAACTCCTTCCCTGACTCTGTGTCTCCTTGGCTTCGGTCTGCAGCTGCTGAAGTTCCCCTTGGGCCCATGTCCTCGTTACGAACAGTTGCAGAATGAGACCCGGCAGACACCAGAGTATCAGAACGAGAGTGTCCAGAATTCAGTGAGTGGGGGCTGACGTGCAGGTCATCGGACTGTCTTTCTGCCAGGACAGGACTGACCTCTGCTGCATTTCTCTTAGCAATTTCTGGACATGATTGCCAACGAGACAGGACTTACCAACCTGACACTGGAGACGGTCTGGAATGTCTATGACACCCTCTTCTGTGAGGTGAGCCCACTCAGTTGCCTGCCCTTCCTTCCCCACCCCATTGGCCTAGGTCACAGGACAAGGAGAACTCAGTGCCTGGCTACCATTCCCACTGGGAGGCCCAAGCTTCTTGTGAAACAAGGGAACTTCCCTCACAAGTAAGAAAGGACCCCAGAGTGGGAACCGGTTTACTGATTGTCAGCAGTTTTTACTCCCCTCCACCCAGAGCTCTCATGATAGCAGACTCCATTCCGCCAAGTCACACTTTTTATGTCTGAGCTTCCTTCTCTGTGGCCTGTACCCTTGACACTGCGCCACATCTACGAATTCCAGCCCCTCTGCCTCACCTCTCCTTTCCTGCCCCCTCCTCACACACACAGGCACCTTCCCGCTGGGGAAGAGCGTGGCCCGGGAGGGCTTGGCTGGGCCTGTGGTGCTAACCTGCCCACTACGGTATACAGCAAACACATGGGCTGGCCCTGCCACTCTGGGCCTCGCCTCAAACTATGCAGCGTCTGAGCCAGCTCAAGGACTTCAGCTTCCGCTTCCTCTTTGGGATCTACCAGCAGGAGGAGAAGGCCCGGCTTCAGGGGGGTGAGTGACAAGAGCAGCATGTCACACCTTTCCCCGGGACTCCATGGCAGCGAGGCTGCTCGTGAGAGCTCCTCCCTCTCTTGCCCCCTCTACGTGAGATACTAGTGCCCACCCATCCACGTCCCTCACCATCTCACTTGTCACCAGTCTTGTACATCTCCCAGTGCTTCGCATGTTTGTCTGCGTGGCCATACCAGTTTTGCACGCTGCTTTTCTGTCATTCATTCTGAGCTTTATCCTCTCGTTAAATAGATGTGTCCCCCAGGGGAAAGGCGGCCAGGGTAACACACATGCCAGTTTTGTGATCTGACTGTGCAAAGGCGTGCCTCCCACCAGACCTTCCTGACAACCGCAGTAGCTTCCAGAGCCCACGGACAGCCGTGTCACCCAGGCTTGAAGCCATCATCTCATGTATTTGAGGCAATCTAAAATATACATTTGCTCCAAATGGGAGTCATTCTTCAGACATGGGCAATGCCTGGCCACTCATGTATAAATGGGCAGTTTTCTTCAACTGTGCTGAAATGGAGATAGTTAACTTCCCTCTGTGAATCTGGAAGTTCTTAGAAAGCAGCGGATGCTCTAGGGTTCATCTGGGGTTCCCCAGAGTCTCGAGCTCTGTGTTGGTGATCAGAGTCAGAGAGGCCTAGGGTGAGCTCTGACCGGAAGATGGTGATGGCTGTGACCACCAACACGGGACTTTCCTCTCTCAGGAGTCCTGCTGGCTCAGATAAGGAAGAACCTAACTCTGATGGCAACCACGTCCCAGTTCCCTAAGCTGCTCGTCTACTCTGCGGTAAGCTCCGGGGGGACCCTGGGGCCCAAAAGTTAGGCAAGGAATGGGGATGTTCTTTCTGTTCCATTCTGAGGTGAAGGGAGCAATTCTGATGGGACCCCTCTGCCTCACAGCACGACACTACCCTGGTCGCCCTCCAAATGGCACTGGACGTCTACAATGGGGAACAAGCCCCCTATGCCTCCTGTCACATATTCGAACTGCACCAGGAAGATAACGGGTGAGGAAGCCCTCCTCATCCCGGGAGGAGCACCTGGGATCACCCCTCAGGGAAGACACAAAGGGCCCTGTGCGGGGTGTGGCAGCAGCACCCTCCTTGCCTGCTCTCAACCTTCAGGAATTTCTCGGTGGAGATGTACTTCCGGAATGAGACCGATAAAGCCCCCTGGCCGTTGAGTCTGCCTGGCTGCCCTCACTGCTGCCCGCTACAGGACTTCCTGCGCCTCACAGAGCCTGTCGTGCCCAAGGACTGGCAGCAGGAGTGCCAGCTGACAAGTGGGCCTGCAGACACAGGTGAGCAGCTGTCTGCCTCTCATCATAATCCCTGAATTTTACATCCATGAATCCTGAGCAGGTGGTCACACTTCCAGCCACCTTACTGCATTTCCTAAAGATACTGAGATCTCATTACAATTTGTCTCTAAACACCAATGAGAAGCAAGCAGGCGGGAACCATCCTTCTACTGCCTTTATCCTATCTGCCACCTGCATCTGTGTGTCACCCTCTGCTTCCCATCCAGGGTGGCTGCAGAGCCACTACTTATGGTCACCTCTGCTTATACCCTGGACCCTCTCCCCCACCTCCTCAGGAGCCTCTCTTTGGTACCTCACTGTTTCCCTTTGAGATGCTGGCTCCTCCCATCTAAACAGCTTAGTCAAAACTTCATGGGACCCATATCCTTCTTCAGCTCCATTTTCTCTGCCCTTCTGAAGTCAAGTCCTTGAGCTGTGTAGACTCTGGCTTCAAATCCTTACCCCATCTTTCAGACTCACAGTCAACCATCTGTGTCACCTTCCACACTATTGAAGCCACTCTTATCAGAGGCACAGTGACCTCCTCACTTCCCAACAACTTCCCACTGGCCATTCCTTCCTTAAACTCTTGCTGGGCTTCCCCTGATTTGCTTCTGGCATACAGCCCATTTCCTAGTGGGTCAGATCCAAACATGTGGCATTACATTCCGCCTCCATGCCGAGTTCCATCTTTTTGCTGTAACCTGCAGATTCACATTTCCAGCTGTGATCTCCTGTCTGAACTGCAGGCGACTCTGCCTGGGTGTGAAATTAGGCCTCACAGGCCGTGGCTAAACCCAGATGTCTTTCCCTCCATGTCTGCTTTTCCTCCGGTGTCTCCCTTTAATAAATACCACACCGGTCACCCACCACATAGGATGTCCCTCAAATGCACTCTTCCACCCCCATCTAACCCCTCAGCCTCATCAGCTCAACCTTTAAAATGTGTGCTCTTGCTTCCCTAGTCCAGTCTGCCATCATCTTGTCCCTGAAATACCGAAAGCCTTTTGAAGTTTTGCCGATTCTAGTCACATCTCTGCTTGTCTCTCAGGGCAGTTCTTTCTTAAGAGCACAAGCCCGCTCTTGCAACTGTTTTGTCCTAGTCTTGCAGTGGTTTTCTATCACATCTGGAATCATATCCAAGCTTGTTCCCACCCCTTCTTAACTCTATCCTCCGTCCTCACCTCCTTATGGTCTTTGCTCCATCAGACAAACTGACTTTCTCACTGATCCTAGAAGCCTCCCTGGGGTATTCCCACATGGGTCCTTGGTGCACACACTTCCTGCCTGCCCCGCCCAGGACACTGCCCTCTCCGGTGGACTCCACAGGCCTCTGCTCACACAACCATCCCCTCCCCGAGGTGTCTTCCCGAATGACCTTGCCATCAGTTTCCCTTTCACTTACTTTTTCTTTGTAGCATTCTGCCAAACCCCTTTTGTCATGTGCTGAATCTCCTCTCAAATGTGAATTCTGCGAGGCACAGCTTTTGTCCTTTCTCACTGTGTCCCCACCGTTAGAAACGTACCTGGCACCTAAGCTGTTGTTAGGTACCATTGAGCTGGAACCAACCCAGAGCTGACCCTCCCACGGGTTTTCAGAGGCAGTAAATGCCACGGGAAGAGACTGCCCATCTTTCTTCCATGGAGCAGCTGGTAGATTTGAACCCGCATGTCCTCGGGTTGGCAGCACAGCTCCTTACCACCAGACCGCCAGAGCTCCTGGGTGCTGAGGTATCGGCGGCTGAATGCTGACATTACCTTTCTCCCCCCCTCCTCCCCGGTACCCAGAAGTGATCGTGGCCTTGGCTGTGTGCAGCTCCATCCTCTTCCTCCTCATAGCGCTGCTCCTCACCGTCCTCTTCCGGATGCAGGCCCAGCCTCCTGGTTACCGCCACGTCGCAGATGGGGAGGACCATGCCTGACAACCACTCGGCCCCCTTCCGTCTGCCTCCTAGGGGGGGTGGGCTGGGCCCTTGCTCCTCACTTTTGTTGCTCCCCAGCCCATGGACAGGAGACCCCCGGCTGGGCCTCCCTTTGACAACCCCAGCCTAGATGGACAAGTGGGGCTTAGCTAGGCCCCCAGCACCCGTCGCTCGGCATTCACGTGCCTGCTGTTTACCGAGTACTCCGTTGGACACTGGCATTCTCCAGCCTGGATTTGCCTCCTCCGTATCCCTAAGGGCCTGGGACAGAGGCACGCATTCGGATTACACTCAGGACCCGGGACAGAAAAACTGAAGGTGCGGATACTTATCTGCCCTTTCCCTCCATCAAGACCCGTGCCCTTTCAACCTGGCACATCACAGAAGTGATTTGCTTATTTTAGTGAGAAAAACAACATAGTGCTGGGGGTAGAAACATGGCCACTGATGAACCAGGTCACCCAACAGCCAAGGTTTCTTCCGTCCACCTGAAGCCATCGATGCAGTTAGACTTAATGTTTCCAGCATCTCTGTCACCCCTGCAGCTAGAGCAGGTCTGAAGAGTGTATGTACGTGGGGGCCGGGGCAGGGGCGGGAGTGGGGGGTGGATAGGGACACAAGCAAGATCCTGAAGCTTCTTCCATCCCTCTAAGCCGGGCTGGGTTCTCCAGGGACCAGAGGTGACTCCAAGCTGTGAGCCCAACAGCCCTAGACTATGATCTGGAATAGACGGAAGAAACGGCTTCCAGAGAATGAAAGCGTTGGACACTCAGTACTGTTTCTGTTGCCTTTCTTCATTTCTGGGGCCCCAGTACTGAAAAATCCACTCAGAAGCTCTCATATGGATGTTGTTTTACTGGCCTTGTGAATAGTGAAAACACATATCTGATCAGCCTGCCTCTGCACATCAGAGAGGAGAGGAGTACTTGGCTCCAAGACAGATGTCGCAGGGACCCTTAGTGCAGCTGGGTCACCAAGTCCAGGGAAGTTTCCGGAGCCAGGTCCCAAGCAGTGACATGCCAGTGTTACCTCCCAGTCCCACAGTGCCCCTGCCAGCATGCCCTGTTGCAACCCTAAGACTTGAATACTTTTAGCCCTTTAATAGACAGCTGCTTTTTCTCACAGGACCTGTTCCCATCTCTGGCTCCAAGCCCTGTCTTGACCGACACCTTTGCTAATGTCTCTTGCTTCTGTGTCCCTGTTTCCTCCTGGTTCCAAATGAGAATGTGATAACCTGGAAGGAGAGAGACCAGTCTGACTTGTACCTTCCATCCCCAGCCTCTGGCCCCGGGGAATTTTGGAAGGAAATACCAGGAAACTGGACAGCAGTAAAGCATTGCCACAATCAAGACAAGAGTGAGGGACAGTGCACCTAGGCCAAAGAAACTACCGTCTTCCTCGTGTCCTGTTACTGAAAGCAGAAATGACAGCCACTGAGCTATGCTGAGGTTAGACCTGGAGGGAATAGGGCTGGACCTGGCTAGTCTGAAGGGATGCATTCTGCTCCTACTCACCCATCACAGAGGCCAGCGTGTCCCCCATAGGATTAAATTCATTAAGCTGCAAAAAGAAGAGGAGGGGAGTGAAGGTCTGATCATTAAGATAGGTTGAGTCCTGCTTCCTTCCATCACTATATGAGGGCCCAGAGACTCACCGAAATGATACCAGAATATTCTGGGTCATAGAGTTGACACATCATCTTCCCTGAGCTTCCATCAAACACATCGACTGTCCTTAATTCATGGGGCGTACTGCTTTTGAAATTAGGATCTGGGTACCGGCCCACGGCGATGAGGTTGTACCGAGGATGCCAAGTTGCCTAGGAGATCGAGAAGCTGGTCACGATAGTAAATGCAGAACATAATCAAGCGGGACTTCAAAAGTATTCTTGGCCACAAACAAGCCAGCAGTTTAATAACGAGGATGAGGCCCACATGAGACGACGAGAGAGGCTGTGTGTGCCTCTGTTGCTAAAGGCCCTCAGGACACCATCTGGCCTTCGCTCTCACATTCCTGAACTCATACCAAGTAATAAACTGAAGCTTTCTCATCAGCCTGACCCAGACATGAACCAAGAAGGTAAGCCCGGGACAAAGCAAAAAACAGCTGGTCATAAAGCCAGATAGGATATAAGTTCTGAAGTCACCCCACTACTGTCCCTTCTTTCATCAATGTGAATACAAAGAGTGGAGTGTCAGAGAGCCAGTGGCTATAAAAGGGGAGAAATTCATGTTTCCGGATTTTACAATCGAGTTCCTGGAATGACAGAAATGAGGTGGGATTTTTCCCTAAGAGAGGGTCTCAAAGAAAAAGGGAAAGACATGGTTAGCAGGAAGGGACACATGCAATGGCTCAGAAATAAGTCCCAAACAAATCACCATTTGGAAAGCTGCAAACTGGCCTGGCTAGATGCCAAGAGCAAGTGGGATGTGGTGGGTGAGGAGAGCAGACGGATCAGTGGGAAAATGACTGTGAAGGAACCTTGGATGAAAAGAACTTGGATTTGATCTGAGGTTCACAGGGTCTTCTCTAATACCAAATCACTTCCATTTGCTGGGTACTCGCCAAGTGCGATCCTCATGGCAGCTCCATCAGACACTACTATGCCCTTTTTTTATCACCTGGGAGACTGAGACCCAAAGGTTAAGTAATTTGTTCAAGGATTCAAAGACCCCAGGTGGTGTGAAGCTCGTGCCCCCACCACTGTGCTATACTGATCAAAGTACAGGTTCTAGAAAAGTGCAGAGAAGAGGAACTCTCAGAGTTTAGACTGCACTGGGGCTTGGGCAAGAAGGAATCAGGAATTGAACGCCATGGAACTAAGAACAGAGATGGCACAAACTATTATATGAGAGCTGGGAAAAGATGGGCAAGTACAAAACTTGTAGTAAAAGGCAACTTAACATGCAGGTTAAGGGTAGTTTGTAGAGTTAGCCAAGTGCAAGAAAGGACTGAAGGATTAGAATTGTACATGTGGCTAACAGTGAGAATAAGGTGGGGTTAAAAACAACTCAGAACAAAAGTTTCTCAAAGAAAAGCCAGCAAAATGGGACTGAAGAAGTAGGTGCAAAGGACAGAGAGCCAGGATGAGGACTGCTCTGTGCTGGCGCAGGAAGGCGCCTGGGATTGCAGGCCAACCCCGGGATCACCACCCCCTTGCCTCCACCACTCACCTTGATGGGTGTGAGATGCTGGAAGTGGCGGTGAGGGTGTGAGATCAAGCCCAAGGGGCAGTCCCAGTGGGAAGTCGAGTAAACCCGGATCTCGCTGTTCTGGTCAGTGGTCAGGAGCCGGGCTCCATCAGGACTGAAACATGCTGGTAAAACAGAAAGGCTTGGAGCGGAAAGAACTTGGAGTGCCTGTTGTCCTGGCTCCATAGACCTGGGGCTGCAGGGCCCCTTCCCTCCCACCGTCTCTAGACAGTGGTGGAAAAACCAGAACGGACTCTGGACAGAAAGTCTAGAACCTCAGCAGCTGATGGGGAAGGAGAGAGCCAGAAAGGACCCAAGACATGGGCTTGTCTGACACCACCAGAAAGGCCTGACCTAGCAGCTTCGAAGGAGGGAAAGCTCCCGAGTGCGGAAGGAGGGGCAGGGTGCGGAGGGAAGACGGGGTCCGGTATGTCACACCTGCGTTGACAGGATGCCTGTGTGGCAGCGAGGACAGGAAGCTGGATTTCCCTCTAACCTGGCGCAGGTCCCAGATTTTCACTGTTTGATCTACGGAGGCTGTGGCCATGAGCCAATCACAGCACGGGTTCAGGGATATGTGGGTCACTTTCTTTTTGTGTAGTCTGAAATTCCAAAGCTATAGAGAAGGGCACAGTTCAGGTGGGGACACAGGGCCAAGGGAGGGGGGTCAGTGGGGGAGGAAGGCCTGAGCCACACAGGACGCACCTCCTTGCCGTCCATGTTCAGCAGGATCACCTGCCCTGCGTTATCACCTGTGACCACCACACGGCTTCTGGCAGACACGTCCAGGCTGCAGAACCAGACGCTGGAGGGAAGATTGTGCTGTAAGGGTCTTGAGGACCAGAGCGGGGGCTACTCATTCAGAGTTACAGCTCCAATGTCTAACACACAGTAGACATTCAATAAATACTCGTTGAATGAATAATTGTCTTGCTGTGGATTCCCCAGATTTGTCTGTCATCCAGACTGAGGGCTGTGGGTGATGGGGTCCAGAAGTTTGTCCAGTTAATTCTGGGCCCAGAATCCTCAGCTACTAAGAGTTCTCGAAGCAGCTATCCCTCAGAATCATAAGGCAGGCCCCCGAGCTCTCTTTCCCTCATAACTCCAGATGCTGAGGGAGACCCGTTTACCTGCTCTCTCCTCTCTTCTGATAAATGGAAATCATGAAATTGACCAAACAGGGAAAAGTCCCAAAAGGAACTGCTCCCTTTTGAGTCGGGGAAACGCACACCTAACCCAGCAGCTCCAGCTTAGGCTTTGGACTATTTGAGGGTGAGGGTTGAAATAAGAGAGACCTCAGGGATCCCGACACCTAGCCTCCTGTAGGACAGAACTCATTCATATTTTGCCCTCAAGTCCACAGATTCATCCTATCACTTGCCACCGTCTATGAATGAGAGAGGCTGTCTTGTGGAAGAGGAACATCTAGCCGGTCGCCTGTCCTTGTCTGGGCATGTTTCTTTCCTCTGTGGCGCAGAATTATGCCTTTGGGTAGAAACCCACGTGACCAGCATGTTGTAATCTCCCTAGCCACTTGCTCTTGCTGAGTCCAAAGGGCACAATCTGACCCATGTATGCTTCCACTGAGGAACTGGTCAGATCATCACCCCCACCTGAAGGCAGGGAATTAGACCTCCAGCACCCAATTCTTGCTCCCATCTCTGAGTGGTTTTCTAGGTCAAAGCCACTTTGTCTTGACAGTTAGAATCTACGTCTGGTCTAATTGAGGAGTGACTCACAGAAGGGCTGAAGTTGTTCCCTTATTGAGAGCTGAGGCTCAGAGCACCTCCCCAGAGCAGTAACCCACCTGCACAACGTAAAGGCAGCCAGAGAGAGAAGCCAAGGAAGGGTAAGAGGGCTGGCGCCTTTCCCGTCTTCCCTGGGCCAGGTTTGGGTGCAGGAACGGGACCTGAAAGCTCTCACCAGAACTACACCTAGGGCCAAAGAGCCCTGTCCCCTGCTGGTTAAACTACTCACTTGCAGGTGCCTGAGCTGGAAAAAACTCGGAGAGTATTGCCTTTAAAGTCTTGCAGCCTAGTTGTTCCCTCCATTGAGGAGGTAAAAAACTGGTTGGTATTGAGAGGGTTAAACTTCAGCCCTGTGATGCTCCCTCCAGCTCCAATCTAACATGAGGAAAGAAAAAGCCAGTGAGTGACGATGGACCGGGATGTGAGCCAGGTCGCTCCAACAGTGCTTCAGCCAGCAGAGGTCTAGACACCAGGATGCTTTTTTAAGGAAGTTTTATATTTTAAATTCACATACAAGATATTGACCCTTTTGGGGAATGGGGGAAAACCCCAAACTCATTGGTGTCAACTTGGAACCATTAGCTGACCCTCCAGCAGGTTTTTGGAGGCTGTAAATCGAGTGTGAGGACACTGCCCATCTTTCTCACTGAGCAGCTGGTGGATTCAAACGACTCTGCTTTGGAGTTGGCAGTGCAACTCCTTACCCACTAGGCCCCCAGAGCTCCTCGGTATAGAGCCCGATGAAACTTCACACATGCACAGATGTAAGTCAGGACCAGCATAACCAGGGCGCAGAACAGCTCCACTGCCCATCCAAACCTCCCTCCTGCTTGCTGTCTAGTCACACCCTCCCCTCACCCTGGGACCACTCATGTGTTCCCCAGCCCTACAGGTAGGTGTGCCTTCTACAGACTTTGATATAAACAAAACCATTACGTTGCTCTTTGAGACTGGCTTCTTTCACTCGGAATACTGCTTCTGAGACTCATCCAAGTCGTTCCGTCTATCAATAGCTTGCTCCAATTTACTACTGAGAAGTAGGGATGGACCACAGTCTGTGGAAAACACTGTTCTTTTTATAAGAGCTTCAGCTAGAAACAGTGGCTTGACCAGGAGAACCGGAGTCAGATCTGGGCTCTTGACTGTTCTTCCTGATAGCTCACACAGGGATGATGGGAAGAGTAAACTTACTAAGTCCCTATCATTCACTCGTTAAGTTTTCAGAAATTCACATATCCAAGACCTCCTTCTCCATTCTCCCTTATGCTGCTGCTTTTCTACCTCCTGGACCCATACAAGGTCTCTTAGATAATGTCTCCTTAATCCATGCAACTTACTAACTGGCACTTTGTATTCACCCTATAAAACACTCTAACCAAGGTCCTATCTGCCAAACACCACAGTGAGACAATCTTCTGCTCCACTCTCTGACTTCTGTGCTTGTTGTTGTTGTTATGTGCCGTCAAGTCGCTTGCGACTCATAGCGACCTAAACATAACAGCCCTAAACTCTGCTCTGTCCTGTGTCAATCTCACTGTCTCTGACACACCCATCCCAATTATCCCAGTCACTGAATCAATCCACCTCATAGAGGGCCTTCCCCTCCTGCGCTGTCCCTCCACCCTCCCAAGCATGATGTCCTTCTCCAAGGACAGGTCTCTCCTGTCCCATCTTTCTCCCAAGGAGCCACTGGTGGATTCAAACCCCAGAGAGGTACTGCCTTCGGGTTCGCAGCGCAACTTCTACAGACTATGCTACCAAACTAGACGCTATGTAAAGACTACATTCTGGACATAGTCGGCCTTATTTAAGACCAAGTGAACCTTAATCAGCAGATCCATACTCCAAGAAAAAAGCTGGTTCTAAATCAAAACATAGTGAAAAGCACAACAAGTACACATTTTAAGTTAAAATGTAGAAGTCACTCCCCATCTCGTAGTAGACCAGGCGGCTATGGCCTCCTTGCACTGAGACTAGAAAAACTGGACAACATAGTTTTAAAAATATTTTCTCACCAACCAAGACAACCCACTTGAAAAATAGGCAATGAATCTGAATAGATAATTCACCAGAAAGGATATACAAACAGTCAACAAGCACATGAAAAGATGCTCGATACCAGTAATCAGTCCAAAGCCTGCCAGAGTGGATTCCAACTCAAGGCAACCCTCCGTCGGGTTTCGGAGGCTGCACATTTTACTTGAAGCAGTTGCCTATCTCTCCCCCCCAGACTGGTGGGTTGGAACCACCAACCTTTCAGTTACAGACCGACATGTAGCCCGCTACTCTCTGTGGGCTGCTACATTAGTCATTTTAAAAAACTCGGGCTCGCCGCCACCAAGTCCAGGCTCTCCTACTGTGTTTCTGAGGCTATGAATCCTGACGTGAGGAGACTGCCCATCTTTCTTCCAGAGAAAGGCTCGTGGATCCAAACTTTCAAAGACACCTGAGTCAACACCCTAATGACTACCTCACCAGACTTCCTTTCACTAATCACTGTTGTGTGCCACTGACCAGTGGGTTTTCAGAAGCATCACACAGGAAGAGACTGTCCACTCTTCTCTCACAGAGCAGCCAGTGGATTTGAACCGCATGCCTTTGGGATTACAGTACAGCTTCTTAAGCACTAGGCCACTACACCTGCAGAGTCATTAGGGAGATGCAAACCAAAATTATGAGATACATCAGCTCACTCTCACTACCATGGTTATGATTGTTTAAAAAAGTGTTGGTAAGAATATGGAGAAGTTCGACTCCCGCTCAATGTTAGTGTGTTAGTAGGGATGGAAAATTGTAGTGTCATTGTGTAAAACAAAGAAGTACCATACGACCCAGCAATCCCAATCCTAGGTGTATATTCAAAAGAAGTGAAAACAGAGACACAAGAGAATTAAAAGCAGGAACACAAGCTGAAACCTGTAGATCAATATTTATTGCAGCAATATTCATAACGGCTATAGGGGAAAACCACCCAGATGTCTACCAGCAAATGACTGGAGAAATGAAACGTAGTCTGTACACTCAACACAAAGTGAAATGAAGGCTTGATGGATAAACTTAGAAAACACTGTGCTGAGTGAAATACCTTAGTCACAAAAGGACAAAGAGCACGATTCTCCTAACACAGAACAGGTCAACGTATAAAGACTGAAGCTTGTTAGTGGTTACCAGGGGTGGGACAGAGCAGGAGGGTCACCGCTTAGGAGGCACTTAGCTTCTGTTAGTGGTGGCGGAATAATCTGGAAAAGAACAGTAGGAATGGTTGCACAACATGATGAACATAATCGATGCCACTGAATCATACGTGAAAAAACTGTGAACTGGCAAATGTTTTGGTATGAATATTTTACCACAATAAAAAAAAGTATGCAAGATTTCTAATTCCAGCTATGGTAGATTAACTTCTGTCAGGGCCACTTTCTATCAAGAACAACTAGAACAATTTTTTTTTAAGGCACTGGAGATCTAACAAGGCAGAAAGAATCTGAAGGACAAGATCTGGCAAGAAGAGAAGCAGAAGAGCAAACCTGCCACTTGGATGCCCACTGTCCCTTTGAGGTTTATGTAAATTAGACGTCTGTGGTTTAGCAGAGAAACCAAACTGCATGGAAGCAGACAGGAAGCGGTGACTAGGAGGCTGAGAAGCTCAGAGGTGGCTGCATCAGCATCGCCAGGCAAATGAAATCAGCTCCCGCAGGTCTGACTGCAGCTCATGTCACCCTGAGTGTTTCAGAGAACTGTGTTCCGGAGAGATCTTTCAGAAACAGACCGCCAGGCTTTTCTCCTGAGACGTTTCTGAGTAGATTCAAACTTCCAACCTTTTAGTTAGTAGCTAAGCACTTACTTGTTTTAAGTCACCCAAGAACTCCTCTCTAAGAGGAACTAGGGAGAAAAAAAACAACAAACAGACTTACCATGAAGCGGCTGGGGGTTGGGGGGGAAGGTCTAGTTTTTAGTTAGTATCCTTGGCACTCTAAAAATAAAGATAAATTAGAAATCTATCATTCCTTGTAGAGACTGAAACTCAGTTTTCAATAATTCCAACCTCTGATTAGATTATGAATCTAGCTAGATTGATCAAGGGGGGCGGAAGAGATCAATTATAGTATCAGGAATGTGTGTGAAGACTTTACTACATCCTATAAACATTAAAAGGATAATGAGGGGCAATTTTATGCCAAGAAATTCAACAAGCTTTTAAAAATGGACAAATGACTTGAGAGACACAATTTATCTCAGTGAATCCAAGAAAAAAGTAGATAACCTAAGTATTCCTATAAATATGAAAGAAATGTAATCTGTAGTTATATAAGTTTTCCAACAAACACAACTCCAGGTCAGAAGGCATTTGAGAGAAATAATACCAATTCTAGACAAATTCTTCCAGAAAATACTTCTCAACTCATTTTATGAGATGAGCATTACTCATCCCCAAACCAACAACAACTTTCCAAGAAAAGAAAATGACAGAATATTTTAAAGTAGTCCCCATCTGGTACGATATGATCAAATTAGAATATTTAGCATAATATAAAACAGATTCTAGGACAAAATATTTATGTGACAATGTAGCTGGAAGGATTTATGTATGTACATGCACAGAGAGGGTTCAGATGGCACGTGTACCTGAGAGGTACCTGAAAGGTGGGATTTCAGGTCACATTTATTTTCTTGTTTGTACGTTTCTCAGGGAGTCCTGGTGGTGGAGCCGAGAGGAAGCTGCCCTGCTAACTCACAGATGGCATCTCTCTCTGTGTGATCTGAACCCCCCCAGGGGCCCCTCAGGAAAGGATGGGCAATCTCCCCTTGGGCAATTTATAAGCCTCAAGAAACCTACTGGTGGGTCTGCTATGAGGTCAGTTCTGACTTGATGGCAATGAATTTGAGTATTGTTTTCTCAGTACGGTTTACATTTTTCACAATGAGCATAGATGTTATTCACTAGAAAACATAAAGCTGTTTTCATATTAAAACATAACACTTGTTCCCTTGCCGGTTGTTGCTGTATGTCACTGAGTCAGACCCGACCCACAGTTGACCCTCCAGCAGGTTTTCAGAGGCTGGGAATCGTACGAGAGGATAATGTTCCTCTTTCTCCTGTGGAGTAGCTGGTGGATTTGAACCAGGTCTCTTTAGGCTGGCAGCACACTCCTTACCACTTGGCCACCAGAGCGCCCTGTTCCCCAGCCTACGATCTGAACGATACAAAGATCAGAGTCAAGGTCAGAAGAGTTAAGAAGTAGCTCCCCAGTCACTGGTCTCAAGACAACTCTCTGTTGTTGGTATTCAGGAGTAAGAACAGAGGATTCTCTAACCACCAACCCCTTTCTCTGCTCCAACCCACGAGTTACAGAGTTCAACTTCCAACGTTAGTGATGTGCACACGAGACTAAAAGGTACTAAAACAAGAGCAGTCATGCTCACTTTGGCAACACATATACTAAAACTGGAACGATATACAGAAGATTAGCAGGGCCCCTGCACAAGGATGACACACAAATTCGTGAAGTGTTCCATGTTTTTTAAATGTAAAAAAAAATCCCAACAACCAAAACACAAAAGCCGTCTTGAACTGGTTTAAAAATAGTTGATATTCCCATTCAGTCAAAAAAAGGCTCTTCTCCTAAGATACCCCAGACAGTGTCTAACCACCTCTGGGTTTAGATTCCATTTCTCCACTCCATGTCCTAGGGAGCTCTTGTAGCAGAGCCCGTGGGGTTGCACCTCTGAATGGGTGCTGCTCTGGCAGTTCAAATCCACCAGCAGCTCCACAGGGAAAAGATGAACAATCTCTTCCCAGGTAATTTACAGCCTCAGAAACCCGGTGGAGGAAAGTCAGCGGTGAGTCAGTTTCAACTTGACAGCAATCAACAGGTTAGAGTGAGAGTTACTCCCATGTCCTAGCTTCCTGGAAAAGCAAACCTCTTCCTGCTTATGATGGAGGGGTCTGATTTGTTTGAAGCTGGGCAGGGCCCCCCTGAGTTCTAGCCAGCTATCACCTCCCTGCCTCTCTTCTGGTTTCATGCACTTATTTCTCCAACACCCCATCTCATGTTTTGAATCCTAGTCTCTCCGACAGCTGTCTACTCTGGCTTTGCTGATAGGCTGTTCTTCAAACTCCTCCACATAAGAGATCTCATCCTGGATTCACCCATGCTCTTCTATCTCTAAGCCAGAGATGGCAAAATGACAAGCTAAAACAGAACCCTGCTCATAGCTCTTAGCCTACAGAGTTTATCAGGACTTTAGGCTTCATTTGAAAGATCAGATCTGATACTACTTGTACCTACATTCTGTTGTTGTTGTTGTATAGTGTTATAGTGGATGTTGTTGTTGTTAAGTGCCGTTGAGTCGCATAGCGACCCTATGAAGGAGAGTCCTCGACGCTTGGATGCCTTTCATCCTCTCTCCAGATTCATAGGGTTTCCGGAGGCAAGCTATTACGGAAGTGGATGCCACTCCTCCTTCCAATTATAGTGTATAGTTAAAGTGTAATAGTTTTCCAAAGATAAATAATTATTTTTTGCCAATTCACAGATTTCTCACATGTACAATTTAGTGATACTACATCAACAAGGACCCTGGTGGCATAGTGGTTTAAGTGCTTGGTTCCTAACCAAAAAAAAGTCAGTGGTTCAAACACAGTAGCTGCTCCACGAGAGAAAGATGTGGCAGTCAGCTTCTGAAAAAGATTCCTTCCTGCTGTCGGGTCGATTCCAATTCACAGCGACTCTTCACTAGGTCATTAAGTCTGGTGGATTCAAACCGCCAACCTTTCAGTTAGCAGCCCAACCGTTCCACACTATCCCACCAGGGTTCCTTGTCCTTGCAAATCCTAGAGAGCAGTTTTAATCTGTCCTATACAGTTTCTATAAGTGAGAATCAAGTTGGTGGCAATGGGTTTTTTATTTGCAGTAATCATGTTATGCAATCACCACCAATCTGTTGCCAAATTTTCCATCCCCATAAACAGAAACACAATGCTTCCTAAACAATGTTTCTTCCTCCTCACACCTGTGCCTGGTGGCTCGTCTTTGGGACCCAAACTCTTCCATGGCAGCCCCTGACACCAGCCCCACTTCATCCATTCCTTCCTCATTCTGTTTGACCTTGTTAAGCACGTGAGTTTGTGACTCCTGCTTTCAGTCCTGACTGTCATTTTTCACAGGACACCCTCCAACGTTAGCCACCAGCTAGATAAGCTAAAGGTTTTCTCTTTGGTGAAGAAGCCAATGTGTTTCCCCCTCAGCAACTGATGACACCACTAGAAGGCTGAAGGCCACCCCTAAAAAAGCTCTGTGTCAAATCTTGCCCCAAACACACTGTGCCTTTCCTCCATTTCATGTATCTAAATATCGCTCTTCATTCCTTCCACTTCCATGGTCTTTTCCATGAACTGACTCAAAAGAAGTTCTTCCTTCTCTTACCATCTGCAGCACTCATAATTTATATTGTTGCTTATCTTTTATGTTATACTCCAGTTGCACTTAAAACCCCACACTCATTCAATAAATATAAAGCAGCCACTCTAGGACAGACAATGTTCTGAGCACTGGGCACAGTGTTGAAACAGAAAATAAGGTCACTGCCATCAGGGAGCTCAGTTTCCCATGGAAAAAGGAATCCAAATGAACAAGTAGAATATTTCAAATCTAGATAAATGTGGTATGTGTGTGTGTGGGGGGGGAGTATAAATGTGTAATTGTAAGGGATGGAAGAGGTAGGCGATAACTTTAGACAGAGTGGTCAGTGTACCTCTTTGAAGGTAAAATACTGAATTGAGAGTTGAGTAAGAGAGAGCCAGCCAAGAGAAGATCATGGGAAAGAACAGTCCAGACAAAATAAACATGTGCAAATGCCCAGTTTCAGGGACAGAAAGACCGTGTATAATTAGAGCAAGAAAAGTGAGGAGACAGTCAGTAGGACAAGAGGAGGCCACAGAAGCAAGGAGTGTCTTCAACTCTATTCCAAATGATGACCGGTGTCAGGAAGATCAACACTTTATACCTTCTGATATTTTAAGAGTCATACTGACTCAATGGCACCTAACAACAACAAAGTCAATAACTATCCAAGGGTCTGCACCACTGACATGTTTACAAATCCCCATACTTTGATCCCAATCATCTCTTTATGACTTTTTGTGCCTTCAGAGAACACTTCTTTACCACTACCAACTGGCACAGGGAATTGCTCACCCCTTTAATGAAGGTGGGTTTGTCTGTTGTCGTAAAGTTCCAGAGCAAGATATCGCCCCCTTTGGAGCCCACAGCCAGGGTGCTGGGGTGAGTTGGGTGCCATGCCAAGGATGTGGCCCTCCTGTCAAACGGGGCGGCCTTTTGGAATATCCGGTAAGAAGCCAGAGAGTGTAAAAAGGCCTGTTGGAGACTCTGGCGGAGAAAGAAGAAAAAAAAAGTTGAATTAACACCCAAATCCTTGCTTGTAATATGCCAATCTCTGTATCTTCCCAAGACAAGTAACTGCTTGGCCCTGTGCTGGAAAATACCATGCTCTTCCCGAGCCAATGTCTATAATGTGTAAGGACTAATCTTGGAAAGCAAGGGGACAGAACTCATCCAATTGGGATTTTTATACCATAAGACATCTGCCTGAGTGTATCCAGTAGGCCAGTCACATTTGACTACTGACAACTTGCCAGACCAACTCATCATTTAATTTTGGAGTATCTAGTAGTAAAAAGGCATCATGCAAACCACTGGGGCACTTAAGCCAAGAAACACCTCGCCTCACCTGCTGCAGGGTTGGGCTGGCAGCTTTGCCCAGCTTCTGTCGGTGGAGGGCCCTGACGATGTTGTTGTGTGGTGGCGGGCTCTGGTGGCTGGCCAATCCTGCCCAAAGACAGCCTGAGTCATTTCTTCTGTTAGAACCTGTCAAAACAGAACAGACACATATTTTCTTCTGATTGCCCTCAGGAAAGAGCTATCTGCTGGAATCCGGAAAGACAGACTTGTTGTTTCAATCAACAGAGCCAATCTCCGCCATTTTCATGATCATCCAGCCCAAGAAATAGGCAGTGAGTAAGGATTTTATCCCTTTATATCCCTCATCCACCCAAAGAATCGTGACATGAAAGTGAAGTATGATCTTGCAGAGTTCCTCAGGGATGAGCTGCATTAAACAATGCATAAAGAAAGAACATTGCATAACAATGCATAAATGAACATTGCATAACAATGCATAAATAAAGAACATGATTTCCAATCTGGGCTGGAAAATTTGAGACAAAGTAGTGATAATTTTTAAATCACAGAGAAGAGTGTAAAGTAAAAAAGATTTTGAGAGCTTAGTAGAAACGACCGAGGATGGCAGAGGATAAGACAAGGTTCCAACCTGTTGTTCAATGGGTCGCTATAAGTCTTAGCCAAGTCAACAGACCTAATAACAACAAATAATAGCAGAAATGATGGTTTATAAAGAGAAGTATCCTTTAATCCTATATCAAAATAATATAGAAGTGGCCAGCACAGTCCCCCAATCCTCTCCATCCTCTCCCTCTTCCAGATAACCTGCAGGATCCAAAGGATTAGCTAGAAGGAAATTAGGCTGTTCTGGGGCCATAAATCCACTTAGAAGAATAAGAATGAAGCAGCTGTGGATTATCAAAGAGATTTGTGGACTTGATCTCTATAGATCAAACAAAAACATAATTGCACAAAAAAAAAATCGCCTGCTTCACTTTTCGAACAGGGCTCTGTAGGAAGTTGTGCTAATTCAAAAGAATGCTCCTTTCTGGAAGTTCGAATCCACCACGGGTTCCGAGGGGAAAAGATGGGCAATGCGCGTCTGAGTCACTCACCCATCCTATCTGCAAACCCAATTTCAAGCGCCCCAAAGCCTCAGAGAATACTTTCTAAGGAAAGAGAGAAATCGAAGGCTTACAGTTTGCACCAGGGACATAGAGCTACCAATGACTACGGAAATTCAGCACACACTACCAGGTAGGGTCTGACTATTTTAAGTGGTACCAGCCTGGAAAGATCCTGATGCAAACCAAAAATCACCATCAATGTCCCCACAACGCCACTGTCCTCTCCGGCTCCCAGCAGTCTTCCAGGATCGAGCAGGATTGCCCCTTACGATTTGCAACTTTTCTCCCGCGGAGCGCACCGCGCTGGTCGATTAGAATCACTGCCTTTCAGTTAGTTTTAGCTGCCCAACGCTTAATCCACTGGCCAAACCAAACATGTCAGGATCATAGCGACCCTGCAGAGCAGAAAAGAACGACCCCACAGAGTTTCTAAAGTTGTGAATCTTCCGCAGAAAGCGGCTGGTGGGTTCGAACTGCCCACCTATTACTGGTAGCGGCGGAGTTTGCCACAAGGGCTCCTGTTACTACAAACAAGGACCCGGGAAAGTCCTTGTCTGTTCTAACGGGACACATCTACCTCTTCTCCCTACGCTGTCAAGTCTCAGTCGGCAGGTGTCAAAAGGCCTGGGGCAATCTGCAGAGCTTGAGGCGCCCTTAACATGCTAGTCTACGGGCATCCCGTTCCCATCCTATGCTCCTGCGTCACAACCCCAAATAGCGGAAATCCTGCGGCAGCACTAACACGCAGTACCGGAGTCCTTCACGAACAGCTTCTTGGCCTCTTGCTCCAGCTCCTGAGGACTTCTGCTCCTCTTGCTCTTGCGCGTTGCAACTTCTGGGGTCTTCTGGGTTTCAGGGCGTTTCCTGGGAGCCATTCTGTCTTCCAGGCGAAGGGCTACAAGGAGCCCTATAGGTAGATCGTGAAAGGAGGCTTGAGTGACCTCGGAGGAGGAGCAAGACAGGAAGCAGGTGGGCAACAGGTAGCCCAACTAAGCCAACTTCCCGCCAAACAAACCGAGGGCTTTCGAACAAGCCTTTAGTTCCGGCACCGCCCCTCGGGGAGAGGTCCCGCCCCTTCCTGGAAGGTGGGGGTCCGCTCGGGGAGCAGGCAAGGATGAGTGGAGGAGCCGATCCGCTCCCTAGAGGGCGTAGAATGCGTCCCCATCACCTCCAAAATGGGATAGCACACGTGACGGCCTGATCGACTCTGAGTCAGCTGACCTGCCAGAAGTAAAAATGGCCGCTAGTGCACACACCACTTAACTTGAAGCCTTTTCAGACGTGGCGGTGCCCGGCCGCCAGCGACGAGCAGCCAATCAAAGCTTCTGTCCCGCCTTTACTGACTTCTTATTGGTGCCTGATGCATGTTTCAGCTTTGGGACTGGCTGGTCCCTATCGGCGGTGTATGGAGAAACCACCTCCCCTGCTGTGGAAACTGGGATTCTTCTCGACCGCCAGCTTTGCTGTTGGCATCGAATACTTCCCTAGCCCCGTCTAATCTGAGCTTCACTTTAGAGAGCTGTTTGATGTCGCGACTTTTAACTGAGACTTTCCCAAGCTTGCTTATGTGTCCGCTTAGTGACCAGGCTGAGGCAGTGATGAGCCAGAGCACTTTGTGCCTAATGGGACTTTGCTGTCCTACAGCTTCAACTTCAGCCAAAGGCCAAGAAAGTGATCCTCAGAGTTGAGGGCTTGTCTCCCACAAGACCAGGGTTTGTCTAGGGGAAATGGAAGGGCATCCTAGATACTGTCTAGTACTATCAGTCAGGTCTTGATATTAGGTTGGATTAAACAAATCCCCAAAACAACATCAGACAGGGATGCTCTATGACTGTGATAGATCAAGTGAAAAACACGGGCAAAAATATGAGCAATCGCCTAAACTAATAAATGGTCAAGTACTTCCTTATTTTAGCTAATATAAATGCCTACTGTGTCTATGTCAATTATAGTTTTAGCTTTGTTTCATTCCTTCCACCGTAACGTTGTTGTTTAGTGTCATCGAGTTGTAGGCAACTCATAGCAACCCTATGGATGAAAGTCATCGACACTTGTGTGCGTGACTTTCATCCTTTCTCTGGGTTCATAGGGTTTCTGGAGGCAAGCTATTTACGGAAGTGGATACCACTCCTGCTTCCAAGCTTGTTTCAACCGGAGAGCTCCACCAAAGACTGTTCACCATGGGTAACCATTATCACATTTGACACATCAGTGTCACAGTGTTTAGCTTCACAGTGACCACAAGTTACCTCTGTATGGCAAGTGGACATGCCAGGGCTATACGACCTAGGAGACTGAACAAAAACAATGAAAAACAGCCCCGAGGGCCGCAGGTCCGAGGGCCCTTCAGTATTTTACCACGCCCAAATGCTGGCCAACTCTGGGCCAGAGACCCCCAGTTCATCTGGCAAGTCCTCTCTGCCGATTCCCACTTGGGGCACAAAGAAAGCCACAAGCACCCGGAGCCTTCCATACCTGCTGACACTAGATAAGACTTATTAAAAGAACCAATCAGAATTACCCCTACATCCTGACAGCCTCCAAACCAAAGCAAATCAACAAGTTTCTTTGGGAGAATTCTGACTCCCTACACGCACAGACTCTGCTCCCCAATGTTTTCAGTGATTGATTTTTCTTTTCCATGTAGCCAGGCTTTTCCTCCAAGATGTTTTGGGGTGAACTTGAACCACCAGCCTTTTTCAGGTTGACCATTTTCACTCCTGCTTCCTTAAACCCATCCCCAAATCATCTAACACAAACCAAATCCTAGAAATTCTTCTTACCACCCTCTTATGAGCAAACCCACCATCCTCCATTGCTTTGTTGCAAAGAACAATGAACCCAAAATTCAGCTGTAGGAGTTTTCCTGGTGGCATTTGTCTAGGGACATTGACATTTATGAGTAGAGTGGGAGGCAGCTGGAAAAGCATCTTATTTGCTTAGTGTTTCTAACATACTAGAAATAATCTTGTTCAAGTAGCTTTAATGAGTATGGATTTATTTTCCCACTGTAATTAAGTTGGCTTAGACTCATAGTGAGTAACTCCATGTACAACAGAATGATACCTTACCCTATCTCGTGCCATCTTTTCAATCTCTGTTGTGTTTAAGTCCATTGTTGAAGTCACTATGTCAGTCTGTTTTATTGAGGCCTCCCTCCTTTGCTAACCCTCTATTTTCCAGGCAGGATGCCTTTTTTCCAAGGATTGGGCCTTCTTAATATGCCCCATTCTTGCTTCTAAGGAGAACCCTCCCGGCTGCACCCTTCCAGGTCTGTTAGGAGGCTGGAAGTCCAAATGTAAGGCCCTGGCTCCAGGAGAAGGGTTTTTTTTCTGTGTCAATTCTAGGAGAAGGCCCTGTCTCTTTTCTGCTCTTGTTCACGTCTCTTAATTATAACCATGTGGATCAGTCTTCCCCAGTTTGTCCGTTCAGCTATGCCTAAACTATCCTTTTATATCTCCAAAATTACTGGTATAAGACACACTCAATTCTGTTTATTGCCTCATTAACATAAAAAAATTATATTCTCAGATGGGATTATACCCACATGTATTTTATGTGGTGAAAGGATACAACATTGGCCTTTCTTGATTTTAAACTGTCCAGTATTCCTTATATTGTTTGAAATACTGCTTCTCTATGTACAGATTCTATGTGTGTATAATTAAGTGTTCTAGAATTTCTATTCTTCACAGTGTTATCCATAGTTTTGATGTTACCCACATTCTGCTGCAGGTTGTAGAGAAGCTAAAGCAAAAGGAAGAAACGATAAAGAGAGCTGAACAGAAGTTTTCAAAGGATGACTCAAGAAGATAAACTATTATAATAAATAGGTAGCTCTGGTGATCTATGGTAAGGAGGGGCACTGCTAACACAAAGGCATGCAGTTCAAATCCACCAAGAGAGGGATGGGCAATGTCCTGTGTGATTTACAGCCTCTGGAAACCCTCTGGAGGGTCACCTATGAGTCAGTTCCAACACCACAGCACATAACAACAACAATTTATTATAATAAAATGTGCAAAAACTTGGGAGTTGGAAAACCAAACAGGAAAAACACGCTCAGGCTCTCTCAAGCTGATAGAATAAGAAGAGAGAGAGAGAGGGAGAGGGAGGGAGAGAGAGAGAGAGGAAGGAAGACATAAATACATAAATAAAGCCTTAAATTGCAATATTGAAACATTCTTTAGGCAAAATATTGAATGATGTGGGAAGCACAGAAAGAATACGGGAGGAATACACAGAAAAGAATTGGTCAATACCAAACAATGTCAGGACATTGCATCTGATCAAGAACCAACGGTACTGAACAAAAACGTCTAGGCTGCTCGTCAACATACATGTGGTAAACAATTTAACTTTCATCTATTTCAACAAAACCAGCTTTGTTTTTTTTTTTTGGTCTAGTGGCATCATGTGAAGTATTAAGTGACTAATCAAAAGATTGGGGGCTACACCTATGTTTATTGCAGCTTTGTTTGCAATAGCAAATAGCTGGAAACAACCCAAGTGCCCATCAACAAACGAATGGATAGAGAAGTCTGGTATATTCACACAATGGAATACCATGCAACATTGAAAAACAAGGAACTCATGAAATATTATGCAAAATGGATGGCCCTGGAGGACATTATGCTGAGTGAAATATCTCAGTCACAAAAGGACAAATATTGCATAGGGCTACTGTTGTAAAATGGGACTGACATCAGGGTTGAGGGAAGACAGAAAAGGAGGGGAGGAATGATATATATTGCATTGCAACAGATGAGAGAGAATACTGTTTGAAAGGGATATATGAATGGTTATTCTTGTCATTACAGAAGTCCAGAGTGAAGGCTGCACAGTGGAGTGGACTTGGGGGGAGGGATTGCATACAAATGAAAGAGTGTTTCTTTTTCTTTTCAAGGAGAAGAGTTAATTGGGGGGGAGGGGGTAGGCAGGAAGAAAAGTGCAACAGTGAATGACTGGAAACCCTAAGTCTCTGTAAACTTTGATTAAAATTAATTTTAAAAAAATTATTGGGGGTTCAAAACTACCCAGTGACTCCTCAGGAGAAAGACCTAGTGTTTATGTTCTGTTCTTACAATCTTTACATCCTATAAATCTTGTTTCAGGCTGTGCTTTTAGATAGGTTACCCAGGTCCTGAGGAACTCTAGTGACACCACAAGGATGCCTCGTGGTGAAGTGTTAAGATCTTGGCTGCTAACTGAAAAATCAGTGGTTCAAACCCACTCAGTTGCTCTAAAGGAAAAGATGTCTGTAAAACGGCCTCCTTCTCTAAAGAGGAAACCTAGGAAATGGATGGCAGTTCTACTCTGTCTTAAAGGATTGTTAGATGATTTGAAATAAACTCAATGGTAATGACTTTGGTATAGTCATAGGCTGCTAACCAAAAGGTTTGGGGTTCAAACCTACCCAGGGGTCCCTTGGGTGAAAGATTTAGTATTCTGTGCTCTGCTCCTATACAGTCTGCAGTCTATTAAACTGCACAGGCCAGTTTTACCCCATCACATGGGGTCTCTGTGAGTAGAAAATTGACTCCACGGCAAACTACCACGTTCCCCATAAGGGTTTGGCTTTGACTTTCTTTGTTTCATCACAAAGTCATTGCCTGTTGGCCTGATGTCATTCATTCCTATCTGGTGCACGTAAGACAGAAGCATTTATTATACAGAAGCATACCACATTTTAGTGAGAAGCATAGGAATCCAAAAAAACCAATTATGCTCACACAAAACCTCTACAGATCAAGAAACCATTTTATGAATAGAACAAGGGAACACTGCCTGGATTTTGTGTTTGGTTTTTTTCACTTTCAGATATGTCTTGAAGAAAGAAGGTGCAGCAGGTGTGTTCCTTAGATGTAAGGATGGTAAAACTTCGCCTCACATACTTTGGACATGTTACTAGTTGGGAATATTATTTGGAAAAGGATATATTGCTAGGAAAGGTGGGCTCTCAATCAGATGAATTGACATAGTGACTGTAGCAATGGGCTTCTCATGTGTCAGAGGTAATGAAGA